GGCCGCCATGTCGACCGTTATCACGACCATAACCACCTCGGAAGTTGCCTCTATTACCACCACCACTACCGCCGCCTCCACCACAGGGATTGTTGTACATTGGCGCCTGCGTAATATCACTAGAATTAATATTAGACAGATCCAACGGTGTGTCCACCTTTTTCAGGATTGCCTCCTCATGTTGCGTGACTCCCTCCTCATCCCGTTTCTCCTTCTTCGGACTCTCATTGTTATTGATACTATGCTTGTTTTCCTTTTCAAGATTCTTTACAAACAACGTGCCGTCAGCCTTCAAGACCACATCCGCCTTCTTCTTGGTCGAATGCCACAGCTCCTGACTGCTCATTATACTGCTCAGTAGATCTGTTATGCCAGTATTATCTACTTCATTGACTGGATCAACCATAGTTTTTAAAATGGCGCGGCGTCTGATCGACGGCATTGCTGATCGTCGTTGTCGTACGTTTATCATAGGACCACTTCCAATTCCAATGGAATCTTCATCGTCATAGTCCGACCTAAGAAAAAAATTATTTTTTTGTTAAAGTATTTCACTAAAATATTTTCTTGTATTTTTATTTTTGTTATATTTCAAACTTTTTTAAACCAAAATCATCTGAACAATGGAGGATTAAACATTATAGAGTAATATATACACATAGAGCAATATCTCATGCATTTTGCCTAAAATAAAAAGTGCAATCTAGCATTAATAAAATGAAACATACTGCATCTTTATCTACGTTCAAGAAAAGAATGACACAGACTTGTAGGGGGGAGGGGGATCAATTAAAGATAAGAGTGAATAAATAGGATCAATCGCTCACCCAGGTGGACTGTAACCTAATCCCAGATCATTTCCAAAGAGACTGACTTGAGATATACCAGCGCTGTGTCTGGCATTTATGAGAATGCTTTTCTCAGGTACAGAGATGTTATTTTTCATGACAGGTACAAGCTGCGGCATCTTCGATTTCTTCATACCAAGTGTAGAGGCCAATCTCCTTTTTACCGTTCGTGTACTCAGTACGGACGCTTCAATGCGCGCACGTCGCTTGTATTTTCTCCTCTGGAGAAATAATAACTACATATGTGCTTTTATAAAGATCAGAAAAAATACGATAGACAATATATACATTTAATAACAAAAATTAGATGAAAATAAAACGTAAAATAGCATGAGGAAAAGGCGTTGTGAAAAAAATGCTCTTTAAAAATTTTCAAATTTATCTTTAAGATAAAAAGATAGATAAGTTAAAGTAAATTAGTAAAGTAAGCAGTTAATAGATTTTATTGACTAGGGTGTAATATTTTTAGAAAATTACACAAGTTTAATTAGTATAGAAAGTTAAAATTATTTTAAAAGCAAGATAATTAAAAGTTTCATTAAATAAGTCTATTAAATTAATTTGTAAATTCATTGTTCTTTAGTATTTGGCTTATATTACTCTTGAGATTACTCTAAGTAGATGTATCGCTGTTGATGGCAATGCTCTCAGAATAATCTTCTTGTACACGATTTAAATATTTTTAATGTGTTTAGTTACAAAAATGTATTATTTTATTAACTTATATTAATATATCTTATACTTCACGAATTATATAAAAATACATTACAAATAGAAAAGTTACATTAAGAAATCAATTACACGTATGACTTTAATCTTAAAGTTAAATGGTTTCTAAGATTTAACATATAAATATGACAAAGGAAGTTTCTAAGATTTAGCATATGAATATGATAAAGTCATTTGCAAAATTAAGAAAAAAAACCAAGTGCATCTAGTGTGAGAAAATCATTTTATTTATATAAATTAAGAACAATGAGTTACAATCGAAAAGTCTAATTCAATTTAATTGTGTTACGAAGGTGGCATAAATATGATTGGGGAATACAGCAGTGATCGGATAGTCTGGATCGGAAGACCAAGATGATGAACACTTAATGAGACACCCTGGCATTACCAGACCGTACAGTTCAATTTTATAAGAATTAAGTTATACATATACATATATTTTAATAAACACAGCATAAAATATGGGAATTATACAAAAATTTTTTACTTATTAATCAATAAAAAGAATGCAAACAAAATATACATTCGCATTATCGCGAAACATGAAAAAGATTTAGAAATAAGTTATATACGCATCTGGCAATGCGATGAGCAATATTACGTGTTAAGCTATTATGCTACATTTGAGAAATTTGCGTTATACCTTGCCGGTTTTTTTTGTACTTTTCTTACACTTCCTTCTTGATGTGGATGATGCAATTTTGACATACGTCACTATTTCTTCCTCTTCGCCGTCATTATTGAGTTCTTTAATTCGTACTTCTCGAAATAAATTACTGCCGCTTTTCTTCTTCAAATTCTTGACGAGTTTTTTCTTTTTTCTTTTTGACATTTTGGTCTTAGACTTTGTATTCAAACGCGTGGAAGAAGCGTTACCTTCTAGGCTAGTATTTGGAGAGCGACTTCGGCTATTGTCACCAATCGAATCAAGGCCGGACGAAGTTGACGGCTGATTTGGATCAATAAATTGCTCATCTGTTCGACTACGATTGCGCCTAGAATTGACTCTGGAAACGCGTCTGGTAGGTAGATACATACGATCATTGACATGAGGAAGTATATTACGGAATATGCTTAAATTCGTTCCTAATTCATGAAAGAAACGACTAGTATTTCTCCCCGTTGTTATAAGAGTTGGCACAAAACTCGACAAATACTGCAAAGATAAATAAAAAAGGAATTAGTTTTTATATTCTTATTTTCATTTTATATTCTTATGTTCATTACACACCTGGTTTTTATAAAAGCCAAAAAGATAATTCTTTTATACACATCAAAGAACATCTCATATATAAACTTAATCATCTATCCATATGTGAAAATATTATATATTAAAAAAATTAAGCTTTTTAAATAAATTATATCAGACAATTTCAACTTGTTTTTATATCCTGTAATTTAAGATATAAAAACAAGTTGCAATTTTTTAAAATTACTGCATGTATTTTTAATTAAAAAATTTCAAGTATATTATGGAAATAAGTTACATAAAAAAAATTACATTAAAAAAATTACATTAAATCTAAAATTAATGTTTATTTATTTAAACAAATATTTTATATGAAAAAAATTGTCAATTAAATTGTAATCCATAAATAGTATATTGTTACAACACATAACTCGTCTTTAGAAATTTTTTAAGTATGAATAAGTTGTTACCGATCGTCTAGTCGAGCTGCTTCGGGTACACTCCGGACAATACCATTCTTCAATGGGAACTGTAGTTATTGGGGGTGTTAAACATTCCATGTGAAAGCCACGGTCGCAATTGTCGCAAAGTAACATTCGATCCTCTCTATCACTTTGATGACATATTTCACAAAAAGTTGGATCGTCCGGTGGTTGATTCTCAATACGCGGCACAGCTTCTACTGGTAAACGATTTATGATCTAAGGAAAGTAAAAAAAAGTGCACATTAAAATTGCGATATAATTTTTTAATTCATTTACACACTCACACTCACTCTCTCTCTCTCTCTCTCTCTCTCTCTC